TTCTTAATAAATGTTTGTTGAATAAAAATGTGTGTGTGTGTGTGTGTGTGTGTGTGTGTGTGTGTGTGTGTGAGAGAGAGAGAGAGAGAGAGAGAGAGAGATTTCGTTGATCTGTTAGGTCAAACTGACTCCTTTTACCCCCCTGGCTTCTACCTCACTGTGCTTATACCGTTATGTCAAAATATATTTTGGCATTGTTATATTTTTTTCTGTACATTTCATGATGTACTTCCAGGGAACACATCAGTTTTTTGAGAGCAAACACTATAACATATATATCCTTCTATCTGCAGGATTCCTAACATGCTATATTAGGCACTCAATAACTGTTTGAAATTTCAAATCTCCTGCTTTATATTGCAACAACCGACAGCAGTTTATTTTCTTCTTTCTAGATTATAAATGAACGTGTGTTAAGTAAAGCTAGACCTAGACTTATATGGCCCTCATTGAGTATACAGGTATAAAACTTCTAAGACGAAATGAATTTGAGGGGGAAAAATGTAAAAGATTCAATTAAATGAGTTTTATAGTCCCATCCAGCTCTAACGTTCATGGTTCTGCATTTATGGGTAAAGCTAGTCTTCCCTGCCATGTTTATATTCCTTCCAGTACTGCTCTGCTATCCCCTCCCTGGAAAATGGGCAAGTATGTGTGTACACATACCCTCCACTCAGAAAGATCTGATGACTTTGAGGAGTCATATCCACCTCACTCAGGACATCAGTTGAGAATCCAGTTAAGTGTTTTTAAATTTTAGTCTATTTTCTTTTTCTTTTTTCCTTTTTGATTATTTATTTATTTATCTATTTATTTTTTTAATTGGGGAACAGTGTGTTTTTCCAGGACCCATCAGCTCCAAGTTGAGGAGTTGTTTCAATCTAGTAGTGGAGGGCGCAGCTCAGTTGCCCATTTGGGGATCGAACTGGCAACCTTGGTGTTATGAGCACTGTGCTCTAACCAACTGAGCTAACCAGCCACCCCTCTTTTTATTTTTTTAATCATTTGTTTTTAAGAGTTTTTTTAAAGTGCCATTATAATGTTTTCTATGGAAATGACAGAACTCCCTTCTTTTCATTAACTAAGAGAATTCCCATGATTCTAGAACAAATAGATACAATTTCAAGGGACAGATACTTAGGCAAGTAATTTCTCTCTTTCTCTCTAGCAGCCTACACAGTGCTACCACATAGCCAGCACCCAATGAATGCTTTTTGAATGAACGAATGAATGAATGAATGAATGAAGTAATATTCTATATGCGGTCATGTAAGGACTCTCCTAACCTTAATTTCAGCACTTGATGGAGGAAACATTCTCCTCCCATTCCTTAGAAAAATACATGTTACCCTGTGGGGTCAAAGGGTGAGTCTAAAACAATTTCCGAAAAGGAACTGAGGAGTAGAAAAAGCAGAAACACGGTCTTCCCTGGATTTTATTTTTTTTTTAAGTATGAAAATTAGTTGATAAGTTACTTCTAGTAAATCAATTCTTTTCTTCCCCCCTAAACTCATAATTATGAAGGGAAGTGTAATAACATTGTGCTGCAAGGAGATTTAGTAATTCTGGTAGAACTTCATTAATCACTTAATCAGCGTTCAAGCAGAACTGACGTCCTTGGCATATGTAATCAATCTTGATTCCTCCTACATTTGATTTCCATCCTTTTTGAAATCTGGCTACAGACACTTAGGGTTGGTGGCTTACTTACATGTTATGTTTTTGTTACAGACAATCCATATGCACATATAACAATACTCAGAATATTGATACCTACATTGGGCCTCCTCATCGTCCATTTGAGAACAATTGTTTTCTTTTCAGTGAATTTATGGAGATTAATGGTGCTAGGACCAGATTCTATATAGCTTAATGGGAGCGTGGGCTTGGGTTATTTTTTAGTTCAGCATGGCACAGTATTTTTTTGGAGATGGCAGGTTTCTTGGTGTTGGTAAGCCAGAGCTACTGGTTTATGAGACATTCTGAAGAACTTTTCCAAAGCTACATTCTAAAGGCAGCTGGGCATGGAAATATAATAGCAGCCCCAAAATGAGCAGCATGAAATTAAGTTTGTCTAATATCTCCTGCTTCTGCTTTGGAAAAGTATTTTTATGATCACTGGTGTGACTACAGAAGTTCAGATTCTACCACTCCTGTTCTCTTACCACTTCATAATTTGGATGTTTAAAAACATTATTCCCCCAAAACTTTTTTTAATTGTTATATATAATTTCCATCTCCACTTACTCAGAGACCATCCATCCGTACACTGCTCGTCAACATCATGTATTTCTCTTTCCTATAGAAGAGCTGCAGTATAGACTTTACGGATAGATACGTAAAAGGTGAACAGATGAAGACTCTTACTCATAATTCATAGTAGCACATGTATTTGAACAAACAAGACAAGAATGTTGTTATCTGGCTGTTTGAAGAGTATTTTTTTTCTCTATAAAAACTGATAGCATGGTATTTGAGGATTGTTTAAAGCTAAAAGTCTGCACGCCCGGTATGCTATAGAAACTAAAGCAAAAATGAGCTCCCATGCTAATGATGAAGGAAGAGAAATCTTTGGGGGATGCTCAGATTAGCACTCTAGAGATGTCCAACCAAATCTACAGCTGGTTCTACAGACCAAGAATCAGGAAGCCAGAGGGATAATAATAACAACAACTAGCACTTACTGAGGTCTTCCCACGCCAAAGTAGTGTGTGTGGTGTGCTTTGCATGGGTTATTTAATGGAATAGTCTTAATAGCCCTATGTGGTCAGTATCATACATATTTCCAGTTCATAGAGGAAAGGCAAGGCTCACAGAGATGAAAAAAATTTGCTCAGAGTGACAAGACTAGTCTTTGGCAGGCCTGCTTGATTCCAGAGCTTTTATCCACTAGCCAGGCAGTCTACCTGCCTATCTTAGGTTTGTAAACTGAAGCCCAGAGGGCTGAAGTCCAGCCAGTGAGTGGCAGAACTGGATATATTGGAATAGATATAGATATAGATATAGATGAATACATATATATATATATATATATATATATATATATAATATAGATACTAAACTACAGAGCAATTATAGTAGAATAATTATCCTTTAGTAAAAACTTAATGGCACTCTGGGCTAGCTAGAAAGTAATTAGTAAATTACAACCGAAATTAAGGTTAACAGTCTACCCTGGCATGAAAAGGTGAAAAGGAGAGCTGTAGAGAAGGTTAATTATCAGAGTTCACATCACATTGGCAAGAGGTAGATTTGACTTTGAATGACTATTACTAATAACCATACAAACATGGGCTGCATTAGGAAAAACAAATTTCCTGATCTAAATGAAATCTCCCTAAAACCATTCATTCTCCGCACCCCCCACCCCCCAACCCGACATACTCCCTTCTCTCTTTCTCTGATGTATGCTGATTAAAGCAATTTTCTGACAACTAATTCAGCTTCTCAAATATATGGTTATAAATAAAGTTATCAATTATTAAATGAAGTATAGCTTTCATTTACATATTGACAAGCCTTTTCTTAATAGTGTCTTAAACGATTTTGGGTTACTTAAATCAGTTCTTCTTGGCCTCGGTAACTTTGGAAAAACCCGAAGAACTTTTACTAAAATGAAGCATTGTTCCCCTGCACCGCTACGTGAGGAGGCTCATTCCGCACTGTTCCAAAGCTCTAGGAGACCTCTGCCTGTCCCTGCTGTGCCCCTGCCACCCGGCATGACTTCCCCTAAACCACAGCCATTTTCAGGGAACCTGATAATGTCCCTTCAGAGAGTTGAAGATTAGACAGGAAGTGAAATATAGGAGGAGAGCCTAGCTAATGGGAGAACAAAACAGCTCTTGGACCTGACCAGACATTCTGAGCTGCGTAACCTCAGCAACCAGAGGCCTAAGCAGCAGCCGCCAGCACGTTTAATCAACATCAAGCACTTACTGAACTTCTGCAATGTGTTCAGTATCCTCTGTGCTTAGACTAAAGAAGTTAGACATGATTTTCACCTTCAAAACACCTGTGGGAGGACAAATTCATAAATGTGGTATAATAGGTGTCTTCCAGGCCAGCGACTTGAGGTCAAGTCAGGTAGCAGTCAGGGAGCTAACACATATTCTCTGGTTGGAGCCCCACCTCAGGAAATGCATCCAAATTTCTACTTCTGTGTCCAGGAGGTTAGAGGCTCAAGGATGTATCACAAAATGCTTTCTCCACATTTCCACGTGGCCTGTGTGCTTTTGCTGCCCTCAGCGTGCTCCTCCACCTCTCGTGTATCTAGGTGTGGGGTCTCAGATAGTGTCCTGGGCACCTATCTGCTGCTGCCCATCCCACCCAATGAGACTGCTCCTGCAAAGAGGCCACCCCATAGCAAATGTCCCCACCTTTCTACTCCTGACAGAGCCAGCACAGAAAGCAAATGTGAGGAAGCATTTTCTCTCACCAGCATGGCGTCTTGTATCAAGACACAAAGAAGCACTTCACATCTAACCTTTGGGTTTCCTAAAGGAATTTGATGGTAGAAATTTCCAGTTCAGTGGGTTTTGATTCAGCTGCTATGCTGCTGACATTCAGGCACTTGTCTGAAGAAAACTAAAGTGTCACCATACGCCTGGGCACCCAGTGTTCCTCTCCCCAAGCCCTGAGTTTTTATTACTAATGCCTGCCCTCTATCCAGCTGTGGCAAGCTCCTTCTCTATTGGTACCTTTCCTGAGTGGATTTACAGGTAGCCCTTGTTACTGTGGGACCATGTAGTTCTGAGAGCAGACATCTAAGACTATTTAATACTTAGCTCCAATAAGTCCATCTATGCTTCCCAAGAAACTCCTCCACTTTGAACAAATAAAACCTTTTTGGTGGACCCTACCCACCAACTTCAGATCTGTTCTAAATGGCTGCCAGCTATGCCATGTCACCACTTAGACAGACAATGCGCATGGGGGTCCTCATGACCCTAGTTAATTATATATGACCTTTCTATACCATGTCTTCTATTTTGCTGTTTCAGATAAAGGAATATTCATTATCCAAAGTGAGAGCTTCAACAAATGTATCCAAGCTGGCAAATCTGTTCTGACCCTGGAGAATTGCAAACCACCAAACAAGTACATGCTGTGGAAATGGGTTTCAAACCACCGCCTCTTTAACATAGGGGGCAGCGGTTGCCTGGGCCTGAATTTATCTGATCCCCAGCAGCCGTTAAGCATATATGAATGTGACTCCACTCATGTGTCCCTGAGGTGGCGCTGTAACAGGAAGATGATCACCGGCCCGCTCCAGTACATGGTGCAGGTAAAGCACGACGACACGCTGGTGGCCTCATGGGAATATCTTCATAAGTGGATTTCCTACATGTCAGGAGGTGGAAGCATTTGTGAATACCTGCACAAAGGTAAAAAGTAATTCAAACCAAAGTACTCATGAAATGATATTTAGAAGGTTTGCCTATAAGTAAAGATTTCTAAAATAAATTCTATGAAAGAGACACACAGCACACGGAACCTCAAGGGACTTCTGCTAAATACATTTTAGTTGCCTACTCGCTTATTGTAAAAGGATTACTGGAGTCTTGCAATGGACTTGCTAAGTTCTGCTAAAGGAACAGAACTTCTCAGAAGTTAAAGGCATCAGAGGAGGAAACGTTTAACTTTGGGAATCAATGGAAAAGAGGAGAAAGAACAGGAAAAGAGGGAGAAAGAAAATGAAGGTAGGAGGAAAAGATCCCTGAAGTTAAAGACTTGGCAGGATGAATATGAGAAATTCTCCTGCCATCATTTCTCTTGTAGAAACTCAGTCCCGTGGATGGAGGGTGTCTGCAGAGCACCCCAGGGCCTCCAGTGCCTGGATGGCATCCTTGTGAAGGTCAAGTTACAAGGCATTTAAACACAGCTTTGTCAGGGGTTGTTTGGTGTGTGCCAGGGAATGGGGAAGCATGGTTCTTTCATTTGTCATAGTTCTGTAATATTTGGCATAAAAAAAAAAAAAAACAATAGAAGAAAGCAGCATGGTTAAATCCTGACACCACAAACTTGTTTCTCAGATTTTGTTTTGTAGTGCTCTTCATCCATCCATCCATCCATCCATCCATCCATCCATCCATTCATCCATCCATCCATCCATCCATCCATCCATCCATCCATCCATCATCTGTCACACATTTATTGAGGGCTGACTGTTTCTCAGACACAGTGCCTGGTGTTTGCTCTACAAAGGCCAACAGAACAGATGTGGTCCCTGCCTTCATGGTGCCCTGTAGAATTATGCCTTAAGAAGAGCATTATTTTTCTAAGAATCTGTACCAGTCCTAGGAAGCAGAGCAAGGAACTCCTAAGAACCAAGGCAGGACTTTCTCCTGTACCTGGAGGACATGAGTAAAAAGAGATGGCGCTAAGAGCAAGCTATTTTTAGGATTCACAACAGTGAAGCAAGTGCTGCAAACCAGCTCTCCAAATAATCTGCAAGTCTAAAAAAGAGCTGACATTTTGCTTTATGTTAACATTTTGGCTGTATACTCACACTCACATGCATGCAGGGGAAGACATAATAGAAGGCCAGGACTGAAGCAGGAGGATGTGTTCTGAAATACCAGTAGGTCCTAAACAGCTTTCACCTCTAGGGCTGGTGATGCTGCTTGAGCTCAGTCCAGCCCCTGCCAATTGTGGGGAGGTGGTTGAATCCGCATAGGCAGCCCTTTTCCTCCAGGACCTACTGCCTTAGTGGAGGATTGCGCTGGTCCCCCTCACTATGGAAAGCTCCAGCTGAGTCATGAAAAGTTGCTGTTGTTTCCTGCTTAAGGCCAAGGATAACGGATTATTGAAATGCTCCGAGGAAGCACCCAGCAGGCCACCTTGGCACTGTCATCTTTCCTAGAAGACTGTAGAGGCTTCTCAGTCATCTCACTTTGCTCCTTCACTGTGGAAGCCCTGTTTGCCACCCTGCACCCCAGTGAGCCTTTAAAAATGGAAACCTGATCATGTTTCTTTCTCATTCAAAACCCACTAGTGACTTCCCACCCCCCTCATAGTAAAGGCCAAAGGCCATAGTGTGGCACAGTGGCCTCTATGAGCTGACGTTCCAGTACTGCCCTGATTGCAGCCCCATCAACCTCCATGCTCTTCCACATTCATCCCTCACACGTTCTTGTCACAAGTTCTTCATAAGTGCTGCTTCTGCCAGAACAACTCTGTTCCAAATACTTGCACCCTCACTTTACCCAGTTCTTATTCAGAGGCCTTCACTAACCACCGATCCTAAATAGTGCCCCTCCACCTCTTCACAGACACACACACACACACACACAGCCATTCTGTCTTCTTATCCTATTTTGTTTTTCATCATGGCACTTACCGCTACATGAAATTATATGTTTACTTGTATATTTGCTTTCTTTTTGCCTCTCCTCATTAGAACAGAAGCTCCATATGAAAGAGAACTTTTGCTGGTTTGTTCACTATTGTATCCCCAGGGTTAGACACATTAAATACTCAATAGATATTTGTTGGACGAACATATTCATAAAAGCACTTGAGGTTCAGATGCTGGTTACTGATGCCTTTGGGGACTGGAAGATATTTTAAAGTAAAATCTCCATTACGTTTTTCTCTTTATCCTTTCACAAATATGTATGCTACCATAGCAGAGCACCATAGTGAATAAACAAGTAGGATAAATATAGGAACACCACATGTCTGAGCATGTCCTCTGCACACAGCACTCAGCCTTGCCTTTTACACTCACTACACAGAGAGGTCCTGACGCTTGTCTATGCTATCGTGAGGGCGATTGGTTTTGTAGGTTTTCAGTCACCAAAAAAAATGCATTCACTCTATGACAGTTTCCAAAGATGAATCTGGCATAACACTTATTTGAATTTGTCCTTTTTTTCCTCCTAGATCTGTATACACTCAAAGGCAATGCCCATGGGACACCATGCATGTTTCCCTTCCAGTACAACCACCAGTGGCATCACGAATGCATCCAGGAGGGGCGGGAAGACAACTTACTGTGGTGTGCCACGACAAGCCGCTACGAAAGAGACGAGAAGTGGGGATTTTGCCCAGATCCCGGTAAGAATGAAATCTTCTCTTCTTCATATATCATGAATAAATCGAGGATGATTAGAAAGTTATCTGTATCAAAAGAAAAGCACTGAGATTGACATATTGACGTCTGAATAAGCACTCTGATTCTATTTACCCAGATTTGATTTGGGGTTTGTTTTTGCCTTGAAAAGACAATCCTGATATATATTCCTTTTCTTTCGTTACATTCAAAAGATGTTAATTAGCCATTCTTCATTAAACTCGGGATATAAGGATGCTTTAACTGGAATCAAATTACAATACTCTGTGATCTCATTAATCCCAGCTTCCAGGCAAAATACTCAAAAGAAACCTGAGTGTGTACAAAGTTCAGTTATCCTTTCGATCCATTTTCTCTTATGAGTTGCCTCAATATCTCCATGTCCAGACTGTTCGTCTTGCCATTGTCAAGTCCAGGGATCAGCTGGCCCCTTGACGACCTTTCTAAAATGGCAGTTGCCCTCATTATTTATGGACAATGACTTCCCATCTTGATCTCTTTTCCTTATTACTCGATTTCTAGGTAGAATCTAAAAGTCTTTTTCTCTTAACTTGATTTTCAAGGTCCAGTGACAGCTGCAATGCTCTAACTTTTTGTTTTCAATTAGTACGTTATTATTTTATTTTATTTTATTTTTATTTAGCTAAAAGGTTTCCAATGGTTCCTAAGTATTAGGGAATATTTACACATACCTTCAACTTTCTATATTTAATTTCTTTCCCCTTGGTTTCTGAGAGTCAGAAAGTAAAGCTTTTACAGTCTCATCTTCCATGCCTACCTCCTCTCTACATATATAATAAAATACAACAAATAAACTTGAAATAAAAGCAAATTGAAGAGATTATCTTAAAAAAAAACCCTGATTTATAAGTTATCTATAGAATTGTTTTCTAATCTAAGAGCCAGTTTGGATTAGTGAATAAAAAAGAGCACATTGGCTTTGAAACCAGGAAGACCAAGATTGAAATCCTTCTTCTCAATGATGAGATCTTGAGTCTCAGTTTCTTCACCATAAAATACAGATAATAATAGTACCTTTTAAAGTTATTGAGAGGATCCAATTAAGTGATGTGTCTCAGGCACTTATCATAGTACCTGGCACATGATAAGCACTCACCAGGATTAACCATCATCATCATCATATCAACATCAAACCTTATTTTTCCAGTATGCACTTCTGAATCAATGACCCTTCCTCTTTACTGTCTGACAGTAGCACTAAGCTAGGCATAGTGGTGAATACCAAGAGTGTTAGGACTTAAGACCATCTCTTCAAAGACTTTGGCATCTAGAAGAATACAGGACAGACAGATTTGGTCTATGCCAGAAAATGCAGGCTATATTTGATATGATGCTGTAGAATCATCTGGGGGACAGTTAAAAATGCATATCCTAGCCCCTCCCAGAGATGCAGTGGGTCCAGTGTGTGGGACCCAAGCATCTGCGTTTTTGACAAGTGGCACAGATGATCCTGCTGCAGATAATTCTTCATCAGACAATTCATAATATGGAGGTAATTCTACACAACGTGCTCTACTTATCTATTTATGAAGGTTGGACAATTAAGTTTGCGAATTTTCCACCATGTAAGCACACAGTGGAAAGTTCCTAAAATTAATTGTCTCACCTTTGTATAATTCAGGAATGATATTAAGACATTTAGGGTTTAGAAAAAAACAAAACGACATTTAACAACCAACATGGTATATGCTTTTGATCCATCCAAGTGGGGACCTTAATGTGGGGTTAGGAGACCTGGAGTCTCAGTGCTGGCATTAACCCCTTGGCTGCTGGTATGTGAGAAGGTGAGGTGGAGAGGGAGGTGCAGGGGAGACCAGGGCAACAAAGGGCACTCAAGGAGCTCAGAATAGCAGCTATTCACCAACCAGGATTAAATTATGTCTTTATTGAAAAATACTGTCAGATCATCAGCCTTCTCTATCTAAATCTGAATGCATGTGTTGTGTAAGTGTGTCTGCATGTAATCCCTGAACTTTTTGGATTCTAAATTAGATGTCATATTATTAGCATCATCTTCTCTCTCCATTTCCATCTCTAATAAATGTCATTATTAAAAACAAATAAACCAATACTTGTAAAATTAACATATATTTCACTTGACCCTAATACTAGGGACAGTGTTATTAAACTATAGTATTATTTTTGAGGTTCTGCAAAGAGCGCTGTCACCATCCTTTGTCACTTTCACCAATTATGGTTTCCCAGGTGGAAACCTGTACTTGACGATGCTCAGGGCTTCTCCTTCTCTATACTATTTGTTCAGCTTCCTGCAGCCCAAGGCCTTCCTCTGACAGCCTGCCAGATTCCAGCTCTCCTGACCTTTACCACAACCAGTAGAGAGCATGTTTATTTCTAGAGTGCTAAATTACAATACCAGTTTTCTTCCTTTCTTGTTACTTTTGGTTCCTGGTGGCCAACATACCTCAAAATGATGTATCAGAGACTAAAATTTCAGCAAGCTGATAGCTCTTTCCATGGGGTCAACAAGGGGATGAGATATAGAGGACTGCGTGGACTAAAGTAAAAATTTGTACTTCTGTATCTCATCTTTCTTACATGGAAGTGTTTTTAGTATCTCAATGTAAAATGATGCTGCCTTTTTAAAAAAGTTGATTGTAAGTGAGCAAAATTTAGCTTTAGCACGAGTACACACAAAATTGCCAACAGTGAGAGATGCGATAAAACATCTGTCACTATACATCTTCAGGAACAAGGATGGCCTATAGGACTCTCTCAGGATTTGTTTCACGTCTCTTCCTGGCCATGCTAGGCACCTCTTGGTTGTGTGTCTTACAGAGATGGAGAGTCATGCTTAGTTAGTTTGAGGTATTTATTTATTTATTTATTTTTAAGATTTCAACCTCCAGAATGATCTGATTGCCCTTGAACCTAGCTATGTACAAAAAGTGTGGTGTAGGGAGGGCAGCTTTCCCCCATGAAGATTGATAGGTAAAGCCTTTGTAATTGCTTATGGTCAAGCCTAAAAATTATCCATAGGTTTTTACCAGGAGTTAGACTCCTTACCTGTAAGGACAGACTTGGAGGATAAGAGAGAAAGTGGGGTGTGAATTAAGACCCCAGGTTTCTGCATAGCTAAATTAGTGGAGATACAGATTTGGAAGAGAAAACAAAGCATTCAGATTGGGACATGTTATATGTAGAGTCAAACATGTGGAGATGTGGAGTAGGCAGTTAGACATAAACATCTCTATATATTTGAGAGGGATTTATGGGAAAAGGTTGGATAGTCTGGAGTGTGTATAAAATAAAGAGAAAGAGGGCTCATGGCCAAGTCTTAAGACCTTATCAGTTAGTTTGAGTAGAGAAAAATGAACCAGCTAAGGAGATTGAGAAAGGGCAGCCATAGAGTAGAAGGGTGGCCAGGCATGTGAAGTCAAGGAAACAGAGTATATCAGCAAGGAGAGGAAGGGGGCTCAATTTGTCAAATGCTTCTGAAGGGCCTCATTTAACAAAGTCTGAAACTAAATGTTTGCTGGACTTAGCAATATGGAAGTCATTGATGGCCTTAACAAAATATCCTCTAGTTGTCAGATTGAGTGGGTTAAACGGTAAATGGAAGAATAGAAAAGGAAGGACACTTCCCAATTCATTCTGTGAGGCCACTATTATCCTGAGACTAAAACCAGACAAAAACATCACAAGAAAAGAAAACTACAGAACAATATTTCTTATGAATATAGATGCAAAAAAAATCAACAAAACACTAGCAAACAGAACCCAACAGCATATAAAAAGAATTGTGCACCATAACCAAGTGGGATTTATCCCAAGAATGCAAGACTGGTTTAAAATCCAAAATCAATTAATACAACACCCATAAAGGACAAAAACCACATGATCATACAGAAAACATTTGACAAAATTTCATACTCCTCCATGAAATAAAAACACTCAGAAAAACTAGAAATAGAAGGGAATTTCCTCAACTGATAAATAAAATCTATTAAAAAACAAAAACCAAAAACACAGCCAACATACATAATGGTGAAAGACTAAGGCAAGGATGTCTGCTCTCACCACCTCTATTCAATATTGTACTGCAAGTTCTAGCCAGGGCAAATAAACAAGAAAATGAAATCAAAGGCATCCAGATTGGAAAGTAAAGTAAAACAATCTCTATTTACAGACATCATGATCTTGTGTATATAAAATCCTAAGGAATTCACTAAAAAACTATTAGAACTAATAAACACATTCACAGGATACAGGATACAAAATCGCAGGTCACAGGATACAAAATCAATATACAAAAATCAGTTATATTTTATTACAGTAGCAATGAACGACCCAGAAATTAAATTAAGAAAACAATTCCATTTATAGTAACATCAAAAAGAATAAAATACTTAGGAAAAAATTTAACAAAAGCAATAGTAAAAACTTATGCAGGAAGGGCCAGCCGAGTGGCTCAGTTGGTTAAGAGCTTCCTCAAGAGTGCGAGCTCTGAGCAACAGCGGTTCGATGTCTGGCCTGAGCTGAGCTGCCGCTGAGCTGTCAACAGGTGATAGGATGGCTCAGCTAAAAAAACAAAAAAAGTATGCAGTAAAAACTACAAAACAGTTGAAGGAAATTTTAAAAACCTAAATAAGTGAAAAGATATCCCATGTACATAAAATCAGAAGACTTAATATTGCTAAGATGGTACTGGTACAGCAATCTCTATAAAAATTCTAGCTGGCTTTTTTACGGAAATTGACAGGCATATCCTACAATTTATGTGGAAATTCAAAGGGCCCAGAAGAGTCAAAACAATCATGAAAAACAACAAAGTTGGAAGACTTACACTTCCCAATTTCAAAACTTATACAAAGCTGTAGTAATCAAGACAGTGCAGGATGGTCAAAATGGAATAAAACTGAGAGAGTCCACATTTATGGTTAATTGACTTTTGACAAGTTTGCCAGGATAATTCAATAGGGAAAAAATAGTCTTTTCAACAAAT